AGACCGGGGCTTGCGGTTTGGCGCCGGCCTCGGCATCAAATAGCCGGCCAGCTCAGCTGGCCGAATGACCTACCAATCAACAACCTGCCAACGAATCAGGGTAGTGCGAGCAAAGTACTGGAAAAGAACGAGAGATGATGGACTTTCGCTCCGATGCTCTCTTTCTTTGGAAACCAAGCAGCCTTGAACCAAGTAAGATTGGCACAAGAACGCTTCCAGGTTTTCCCACGGGGTACTCGTTTTCCCTCTTCATAGAGCTCATTTGCTTGCCAGCATTCATCGGCAAGCACTGCCAGAGGGAATTTGTACCTTGGTGCTGCTTGCGGCACGTCGCTGGCGTTGATGATCTCGATCAGCCACGGGGGCAAGGCCCTGAGGTTGGACCGATCCGGCGCTATCTCTTGCACCCACTCGTACTGCCGGACCGCGCCGTCCGAGCCCTTGTAGCTGCTGGGGCCCACGAACAGCATCCCTCCTTCGCCGCGCATGTCGAGGCCCACCTTGACGCCCTTGTAGGTCAGACGAGTCCTTCCGGCTCCGCTCAGCAACCCCGCGGCCTTGGACTGCGACAGGGAGAAGAAGAAGTGTCTCCCGGGCCTGTTCCCCGACCACTCCCATGGGGTGTCGTCCGGCAGGGGACCATGCTCTTCCAGCATCCGCTCAAAGGCCTCAACACCGCCGTCCTTCGTGTCGACGTCGAGGGCATAGATGTCGGAGGGCTCGGTCACGATTGCAACGCAGCCCCGCCCAGGTCGGACCCCTTCACGCAGGCAGTTTCCGAGGTCGCACTTGTTTTGCCACTCCCGCATGAGGCCCGCGGGTGCTTTCTTCTCCTCGCCCTTGTCGTTCAGCCAGACCTTCATGTTGAACGTCAGCGACGCCACACCCATTGTGTGAAAGTGATGAGCGGCGGCCAAGATGGGGTCGACTCGCGACGGTCCCCCCATGTTTGCTGGGCTCGGTACCTGTGGAGGAAGGAAACATCTGTGAGATTGGCTACCAGCTTGGGCGGTTTGCACAAACTCTGAAGAGGGCACCTGAAACCCTTGCTTCGTCCCTCGTGGCTAACTTCGGATTGCGTTTTCAGAGACATAATCGAACCGTCGGCAGAGCGGCAAGGAGAGATAATCCAGACCAAAAACCACCAAACACCTCGCCCACATCACCAGATTCATCCAACGAGCCAACTTTGTGAGAGGGTATCACATGGTCGGAGCTTTCAACCCCAGTGCAGATTGTCGTGAAGAGTGTTTCCTCCATCGACCACAACATTCTTGGAAAAGGGGCGCGGCCAAGAGCGGGTGACAAAACTGCACCATCAGTTCATATGCCAAAGCCTCAATCTAGTACTGGAATCACTGTCAAAGCCAGGTTCTCACCAGGTTGTCACCCGTTACATCCTACCTTTGACGCGCGCGGCTGGTACGATGACAATCAACCGGTCTTCCAAACTAGTGCAGAAAAAGTCACCGACCGTTACAATGTTCAGTGAAGCACACGGCGCCCCCTCGACCGAGAAAGGTCTTGCAACTTTGCCCCCGATCATAAGAATCCCCAAAGTGACTTCAACATCGCACACGTCTGAACTTAGCAGTAGGCATTTAGACTGGTGCAGAGCTATTTAACTGCCTACCTGACGAGGGGACACCGTCTCTTGCACCGCGCTGCCTTTGGAAACGATGGGGGGAGATGGGGGTGGCTGGGAGGTCGAGGAGGGCGGGGGGTAGCGGGGCGCAGCCACGTCCGGCTCTGGGGCAGCAGGCGTGGCTGAGCGGGCAGGGGCAGGGACGGAGTTGGGCGCGCGCCCCAAGCCCTGGGCCGCAGCAGGTGTGTTCTGCTCTTGCTGGGCTGCCCTGATTGCGCTCTGGGCAGCCGCAGCGCTCGGAATGGGGGCGGAGAGCGAAGTAGGCGGCTCCAGCGAGGCTTGCCCGGCCGCGTCGAGGGCGGTCGGGGCACCGTTGGCAGCTGTGGTCTGCGAGAAAGTGAGGAATACGGGGTTAGACTGCTATTCCTACATCCCAGCAGCACTGCAAGCACGAAAAGCTCCGACTTCCTTGAGCACTTCGTGTACGGAATCAGGTGAATTCTGCTAAACGAAAACGAAAACTCGTGCGCCCGTTCTTGACTAGTTTGTAGGATGCAGGTCCCACGCCTCAATCTTCAAACGTGCTGTGAACATCCATGTACATCAGCACGCATTCTGGAGAGGGGGAGCGATGTACACCAGCCGCTCAACAAAAGTAGGGGCGATTCTTCGAGTATGTACACTTTCCGCCCTCTTGCCATCCCGAAGAATCACTGCAAAACTGCCTAGGGCTGTCCGAATATTGAATGCTCCAAAACCTCAAAACGCCCTTCAGGATTCGTGTACATCGGCTGTAAACTCGGCGATTGAAGGACTATGTACACAAACATCAGCTCTTAAAACGGCGATTGGATGGCAATGTACACGGAATTGTCAAAACGTTCTTATGTCTTCTGCAACTTTGCCTCCAATTTGCGCGCTCGCTTTCTGGGCACGCAATCAGACCTTGATGCCTTTGCTGAGTGCCCAAAATCTAAAACCTAAGATCGTGTTCGAATGAGAATCAGAGGAAGGGGGAAAGGGTGCTCACCTGGCGGCTGGCCCAGCGCAGACGTGGGACGATCACGCACGATTTGGCGAAGTCGTCCTCCAGGCTCAGGTCGAACAAGTCTGACCAGCCGTCGTCCTCGGGCTCTGGCGGGAGGTCGTCCGACCAGCCGTCATCCTCCAATTCGGGAGAGAGGTCGTCTAGCATCTGGCAATCCGTCCCAAGCGCACCCCCTTCCTTTGGCACGGGGGGGTGTTCGACGCTCACGGCCTGGCTGCGACCCTGGGACGGACTGTCCTCCTCCTCGCCCGAGGAGTCAGAGGATGAGAGTAGCACGCGGCGGCGGCGGCGGCTTTGGAGCGGGCTGGTCGCCCCACCAGGTGCGCGCCGCTTGAGCCTCGCCAGCACTTGGGAGAAGCCCTCTGCCTCCGAATCTGTCTCCATCGCAGCGTTCATCCGGCAGCACCGCACCACCTCGTTCTCCTCTTCCTGAGGGGCGTCGTCGATCATTGCGCGATCTTGGGAGGTCTCCTCGTCCGAAGTCTCGTCTGCGATCTTGAACTCCGCTTCCTCGATGTCCTCGCCCTCCCCTTCCGACTCCGTCTTCTGCGACTCGTCCTTGCTGAAGACGCGCGGAGCCTGCCGATCATTGCCGCTGCTCGCCTGCAAGAGTATAAGTGCTGCTGAAAATCAGATTCAGCGATGAAAGAATGAGAGGCGCGCTACTGGTTCCAGAACAGGTGCTGCAACTATTAAAAGACCCCTGTCCCAGTGTCCGAGTTTCTGACGCGCCTTTGGGTTTGGGCCTGATTCGTGACGTCATCAAATATCATGGCAAGATGGCAAGATGAGTTGAGAGACACTCTCCAACACCCCCTGTTCAAAGTGTCCGACTTTCTGACGTGCCTTTTGGGTTCGGGACTGCTTTATAACGTCAGCAACTATCATGGCAAGCGAACTGTTAGCAGATAGTGTCCAGATCAGCGGCATCAATCTTGAGTGCGGTATCCAGGCAAGTTGGCGCAAATACTATTCACTCAACTTCACACTCACCTCTGAGTCGTTAGTGGCTGCTTTGAGCTGCTGTGAAGTTGCCACTTCCTCTCTCAGCCTGCGTTGAAAGTCGTGGAAGTAGCTGGGGTCGAAGAGGCCATGTAGAACAGGTCCCTGCGGTTGGCGGGTA